GCAGTTTCCTCTGTAATGTCAAGGACTTGTGGGTTGTAGATGCTTCCATTGTCAAACACTTGCTGGGTGATCAGCCCAAAGGAGAATGGAGAGATGTGCAACATGTTCAGGAGAGTTGCCTCGCTGGCACCCACTTTGTCCCCAGTCTTAATCAGCTGGTCATCACTAAGGATTTCAATAGTGCCCCTGCAGATTTTAGTGGTGATGCCCAGAGCCTGGAAGAAAGAGGTCTTCTCAGGCCCCAGACCAGTGTTCTGGGCAGACACGGTGACTTCACATGGTGCAACGGCACCTGCACGGGCAGCAGCAGGCACCTTATTGGCTAGCAGCATATCCCTGATCTCAGTGAGGTCCTCCTTGGTGAACACAAAGCCCACATTCCCCCGGATATGAGGCAACAGTTTCTCCAGAGCTGGGTTGTTTTTCCAGATGTCCTTGGATGGCCTTGCGCATCATAGTATTCTTGCCCATTCACACCACGGCCTTCCCTCGGAGGGACATTCGGATCTGTTGCATCTGCTTGGAGCCCACATTGTCTGCTCCCACAATGAAGCATTTTGGATAATCATCCAAAAGTTGGATGATCTTTAGGAAATAGTTAATTTCCAGGTGACAATGTCACTCTCACGAGGACGCCTGGAAAGAGAGCTGTGGTTCTTGTACTGTTTTCCTCTTCTTCCAGTACTGTCTTGAGGATAAATTAAGTGGTCATTCATTTAAATGACTTCTGGCCTTTTCTGTAGGAAAGAAAAGTGGTACATACAGAAAACAGCCCTAGAGTGTAGAGTTCAGCTCCATCCTATTTTATCCTATCATGATGCCACAGTACAAAGTTAAATTCACTCTTATGTATGCTCTGGGGTGAACAAAGGGCCTCACACATGCACTGTGAACAGGTACACAGAAGGGTGGGTTTATAAATTTACATGTGACATCATTTTGTGGATGAACAAACAGATAAACATTCACATCTCAAGGAGACTCTGTATGCAGGGCCTTGAGACTTGGGCTACAATACGTGTGGGGGTGACTTTATCTGGGAAGGATGACAAAGGATGCTGCGCCTTCCCAGAATTGTTTCGCTACTTTGACACATTCATTCATTCATTCATTCATTCATTTCAAAAAGGATGGAGAACCCATTACGTACCAGAAAAAGTGAACAAGATTCTTGGCCTCATGAAGCTCTCAGTGGTACAGTGCAGTATGGGGGGTGTCAGACAGGCAACAAACAATAATTATAGGTAAGTTATCTAGTGTGTTAGCCACGGATTAGCATGTGAAAGGGAACAAGCCAGCCAGGCCAGAGGGGTCAGCAGGAGGTGCTGCAGGGGCTGCCTGGGTAACCCTCACAGAGACCCCCAGCCCACAGCCTGCTGCCCAAGGTGGGGGGTATGAGGAGGCCACAGGGGGGCTGAAGCAGCTGTGGTTCCCTGCTTGTCTTTTTAAACAAAGATATGCCAATAGTTTAATTCAGCTTGAACTGATTTTACTTGGATTTACTTAACATCATTTTATAAATGAACA